TTTAAATTAAAGTAAAAATAATAAAAATTATAAATTTTAATAGTTGAATAGAAAAATAGTATAAGATATATTAAACTAAAGAAGATATCAATTATTTTTCCAAAAAGTAATAATGGAGGGGACGAAATCAGGAGACAACAAGCGATGAGAAGATTTATACATGTAGTGTAATTATTAATTTGACCTTTGCATAACCTGTGGTCTTCCAAAATCGTCCCCAATTTCGTCCCCCCATCATTACTCTTTCCGAAATAATTGATACCCTACAGTAAATTTTCATATGATTGTACCCCAAATATTTTTTAAGGGTTTGCTTAAACATTAATTGCAGCCTTTTGCATTTAATCTTAATAAAAGATTACAAAAATTGATTTTATTTTTATCACTAAAATTATATGCATATTTTAATTAAATAATTAATAAAATTAAAATTATACTTTAATTCTTTAATATAAATTAATTATAAAAATATAATAAATATATTCTTAACTTAAATACTAAAAGTATAGGTTAAAAATTTCTTTTTTATTAATTATTAAAATGTTTTTGAACCAACTTGTGATTAAAAGTAACTTCTTGATTTAATCACAAGAAAAAAAAAGAAAAATGATAACATTTTGATATTAAAAATATTAAAATATTAAATAATAAATACATGATATATTTAACAAAATTATAACATATATTATATTCTATATACTTAATAATTATACATGATATATTTAACAAAATTATAACATATATTATATTTCATATATTTAATAATTATAATTAAATATTTTAATATTTTTATATCAAAACATCCTAATTTTTTTTTTCTCAATCATCTATGGAATTTGGACTAATACCTACTCAATTCAATTTAAAAATAGGTAATCTCCACTGAGATTAATGGATGCTCTCATCAATTGAACTACCACTTTATTTTATTTTATTTTATTATTTTTTTCTTTTTGATAGTAACTACTGCTTAATAGATTCCCCAAATAATAATATACTAAAAAAAGTAAGAAAATGACGCGAAGAAAGGTTCGACCCCTTGCGGGAAATCCTATCATTACCATACCCCAACAATAATGCATAATTAAGTAAAATAATATGGTACTGAAAGTAAGAAAATGACAATGAGTAAAATTCAATAATATACGTCACAGCTATTATTGGGAAAAGTGTTGTATGATATTTTTATGGAGTACATTTTCAAAAATATTATATTTAATAAAATTTAATATGTATCTAAATACATAAATTAAAAAATTCCATCAGTAAATAGGTGACACGCCCACTATTATTAAGCTACTATCCCTCGGCCAATGGTTTTGACTTGCAGTTGGGAGTTCAACTTCAATCTTCTTTTCTTAAATAATTGTGGACCGTTTACCTTTGAATTTTGTTACCTTGAACAGTGTCAAAATAATTGAGGAAAGAAAGTTCTCACCTATCACTTTATCAATATTGATTAGTCACTTCGGCCAAAAAAAGTATTCATTTGTCTCCCGGTGTGGTAATCGTCACTAGTTTTTTCTTTAAACAGCATCGAAACATTATTAATTTATTAATTAATTTTAATTGATTAATTAATAAACATTA